ACTAAATCCTTTGTATATACAGGGTGTTCGGCCTCCCCTAGAAAAAATTTTAATGGGAGATTCTAGAGGCCAAAATAAAACGAAAATCAAGGATACTAATTTGTTGGATGAGGCTTCGTTAAAAAGTTATAGAAACATTTCCGGCCACACAGTATATTAACGGTAACGAATTTTTTTCTCGAAAATACGAAGGATTTTTTGGGTATGTGTATTCACCAAAAATGATTGTAATTAATCCCCAAAACAAAAATAATTTTTTCGGAACGATTTGAACAAAATTTTTTTCATCGAAAAATTTAGGCACCTACCTGTCGATTTTTCTTAGAAATATGTTTTTCATTTTTAATAAATTTGTTTGACGCTGTACGGAAAAGTTGTCCAATACTTTCTTGTAGGTGCCCATAAGGTCTACTTCAGAAAAAAGTTTCATTTAAATATATTCACTATTGCAGGAGTTATGGTCGTTTGAAAATTGGACCATTTTTATGGGGTTTTTCTAACTTTACGGGGTCAAGGAACAATTTTTTCAATATTGTTAGAATGCCTACATATTCTGCACCAAAATACACGTTGTTTGCCGTTTGAAACATTAAAATCCTTCAATCCGTTCAGAAGTTATGATGTTTTAAAGATACGCAAGAAATTTCAGTGAAACATGTCAATGTATGGTCAGACATTATATTTTCGGTAAGGAATTTTTTTCTCGAAACTGCGTAGGATTTCCGGGGTATGTCTATTCACCAAAAATTATTGTAATAGACACCCGCAACTAAAAATAATTTTTCCAGAACGATTTGAAATTTTTTAATTTTGTCCTCAAATTTATGCATCTACTCGAATTTTTTTCTCGAAAGTGCGTAGAATTTTGGGGGTATGTCTATTGACCAAAAACAATTGTAATTGACCCCCGCAACTAAAAATAATTTCTTCAGAACAATTTGAAAAAAATTTTGTTCGCCGAAAAATTAAGGCACCTACTCGAATTTTTTTCTCGAAAGTGCATAGGATTTCGGGGGTATGTCTATTCACCAAAAATGATTGTGATTGACCCCCGCAACCGGAAATAATTTTTCCGTGAATGATTTGAAATTTTTTAATTTAAGTTTTTAATCACTTTTTAACGAAGCGTCAATCAACAAATTGATATTCTTGATTATCGTCTTATTTTGGCATCTAGAATCTCCCATTAAAAATTTTCCCAGAATATTATATTTTTATAGAACTTCAAGACTTTAAAAACAGTAATAAGTTCTATCGTGAGCCAACAAAATCCTATCGCATATTTGAGAGCGTGTTATTATCACTTCGTAGAAGAGTACGTAAAGAGCTTAGAAAGTTATTCATGAACCGATATTGCTGTCGACGCTTCGAGGTTCAAGGAAATCTAACGTAAACAAAGATTGTCGCCTCTTTATGCCCCTGCATAAAACCCAGTAGCGATCGAGAGTCGCCTCTCGAGCGCAAAGAGTTAAAGAATATAAAAATTTATTAACGTAATATGGAAAAATGTACCCGGCCATCGGCATAACGGTAGAGGAAAAGAAAAGGAAAACGAAAACGTTATCGGTCGAAACGAAACGATTCGTAAAGCCAGCATGCACGCGCGTCCGTAGCATTCGAGATAAAGAAAGAGAAAATGGCGTAGCTCGAGAATGAAATCCGGCGGAACTGCATGCTGTTGGAGAAACAACCTGAATCTTCGAAGGCAGTAAAAGTATGTGCCGGATGAACAAATTTATTCGACTTTTTACGACGCCGCTTTTCCCCGCCCCCGTGCTCACTCTCGCTCTCTTTCCTGCGAGCAGCGATGTACAGCGAGAACCCGCCATTAGACCAGGTCCGTGTATAAAGAGAAGTATCTCCACAGCGTAAAAGCAGCTGGCGCAGAGCCGTACAAAAGCCTAAAATGCATATTTCACGAAATCCACAAGACGAGACGGGGACAAGACGCGCGTATAACTGTCGTGCTTTATTTATGAATGCCTATCCTTCCTGTCTCTCGAACGCGCTTCTTTGCCTCGCCGAAGGATTCGAATTTTTGTGGGACCAGACGGTGATAAATTCTGATATTTGCGATATTTCTTACACTTCGAAGACATTGTGAGACACAGTCTCCTCGGTGAATCCTGTAATTTTTATTTTAATTACTGAATATTTTCTATTAAGTCTTGTGGAACCGTAGATAGATACTTGAGAGTCTGTGAAAAAGATTGCAAGGTTTGCATCTTAAAGAGTGTTTTATAAATTACCATTCGAAGGGAAACCACAGAGCTTCATATTTATAGGAAAGTTACGTCTTTAAAATCGTCTCGAGACGCAAAGGGTTGAAGCAAACAATATTTTTGGATACCCTAAGCGTTTGCAGGGAGCAGATAAAACTTGGGAACAGTCTGTTATGGAATAAGCTTAATCTCCATCGTTGAACACTTACCGAGGATCGTCAGAGAGCTGGAATTCCCCAAGTTCCGCAATAATATTCCAAAGGGAAGGGATTGAAACGCGAATCGCACGAGTTCCAGATTACGCGAGAAAGCGGAGAGGGTCGGCGGACGTCTCAACATCACGGGACCGTACACAACGACTGAGCTTTCCGTGTACGGTAGAAGCTTCAATGACAACGGTGTACGAGTACAAGCCACGTGTACACGGCGAACGTGTAAGACAAGAATGCGGGGGGTGATTTTACAACGGCGGTTCCTACGATCCCCTTGCGGCCTGCGGTAAAATAATCCCGTGCAGCTCATATCACATGCGTAACAACCCCCGAAGAGATCGAAAAATCGAATCCTCGAACTCGTAAAGTTACTTGGCTTCGGTGTGGGCTATGAAAACCGGAGTACGTCCATCTCACGTAACACCAAGCGTCGCCGCGCGATCACCTTCCACCCCCGCGTGGTTAACTTTTTACCGTCGACAACCTATGTCCAACTAATTTTGCAATTAAGATTACATAATAAATTATGCAACCTATTTTTTAATAGGTTCATAATTTCATTTTAAACAATTTAACTGGACTCTACAGACCATAGTTTGAGTACTTGAATTTTCACAATAATTTTCTCGGTCATTCGTTTCTTTAGACATATTTTTACGAAACTCAATTTAAATGTAATTGAATTTAAAATTGAGTTGCTATTATATTTTCGAAGACAAGAATCGTTAATATTATGTTTTATGTATTTTTTCAACTAACAATACCATGAACATTTTGTGTAAATATTTTATGTAATAATTTTCCAACACTAGAACTATCGAAATGGTCAAAATGACCAATTCGTAATTTTTGATAAAAATTGTAAAAAGTATACTCCACTGGATTTTTTAAAATTTACCGTGGTTTTCTATAAGAGATTGAATAAACATTTATATCCATTGCATTGTACATTTCTTCGAGAAACTTTAATTTCTACAGTACAAATAAATAAATAAAAACGTCGAATGAGCACCGTTCGCTTGGAATAAATTCCCTGAAAATGCTTACTTTTAGGGCGAGAAAAAAACGTCTACTCCTTACAGCTCCAACGGGGTGCAGGAGGAGCAAATGGCTTCGCAGATCCGCGGCAAACGGCACCTTAACGCGTCTGTATGGACGAAGCTCACGTGGCAAAGAGGAGACGATAAAGAACGGGGGCAGTGCATCTGGCGCGATTTATCTCTGACAACGTTCCGGGAGGAAAAGTCTAGTTCCGGTGCTCTGATCTAAGCTACTTCGCTCGATCCGCCTACCAGCGCAGGGGACGTTTACTGACGACGTCATTTTGAACTGCCGTCTCCATAGACGAAGACTCGAACACCCTGGCTGGCAAAAAAAAATCGCGGACGAACGTTCCAGTTTGAATCTCGAGTCGCGACGGAAGTGCATACATACGATAAATCTAGCTATGAAATTGTATGAAGCCAGGTAAGAACAACGCGAAACTACTGGAAGATCGACCGATGCTAAATCGTGGCTCGAAGTGCGCAAAGTGCCTGGGTTAGGTCTGAATTTGATATTTAAATGCCGCGTAAAATCGGGTAAAGGTGAACGGGGAGGCTGCATTTAAGCTGCTGTAATATTTAGTATACTAAGGTCATGCACTTAAACTGCTGGATATTCTCAGTGGTTGCAAAGAAGACATTTTGGCTGGCCAAGAACCGGAAAGAAATATCTCTGTTCTTTATACGGCATTTGCTATACATTTTTACTTGTTGAATATTTAGTTGCTAAATAAATACGACAGTGTTTCGACCTAAGTATCTATTTAATTAATGTAGTTTTACAAAAGCTGTTCTTAGCTTGACGGTTTTCTGCTAACTGAGCTTGAAGCTCGGAAAAAAAAACGAGACGTGTCCTCTTCAGGTAGTATTGACTTTTGCAAGGGAGAGGACTGCACCCATGGACACAAATTTTCATTAAAAATACATGCATGCAATGCTTATTCTCAACATTGCTGTTAGTGAACCGATCAACCTCCGAAGTGCGCAAAAATAAAGCAAAGAGACGCTCTTTTTAGAAGAGCATTATAACTTTAAAAATATTCGTGAACCTTTACTTTTATTTTGTATCTGTTTTTCTATCATAAAATAAATATTGCTGCGCAGGGTAGAAGGAATCATTCTACGTTGTAAAATGGAGTCGAGTAACCTCGAGAAGAATAAGACAATTAAAAGGCGAGACACGTAGATGCGTGGACGCGAGGCGTTTCGTCGCGTCGAACATTTTTTTCCACCGTCTCCTCCTTCATGACGTGACCCGACAATCACGGCAACGCCAAATGTCGTTTCTCATCTTTCCGGCTGCTTTTGTACCCAGCGAGCGCCGTAACTCCCTTTCATTCTACCCCAATTCTAGAGAATACAAGAAACCTCCCCCGGTCGCGCCGTCTACCCCTCCGAGCTTTGAATCCGATGATGATACTCCAGGTAAGGCTAGCGGTGCAATAACGAGTTCCGTAGGCGAGATCCAACATTGATTTTTATATATGTAGCCCGGATATCCGGGCGCCAACCGCCTCCAACACCTATCCCCGACTCTTTTCGCCCTCTTCCGCCGAGTTGAGCCATTGTTCGCGGATTTACCGTCATGGCTATTGCGGATTGCTTCGTTTCAGACTCGGCACGGTAAACAGCCCCGTCCTGCTTTCTACGTCCGTGCCCGGGCACTGCGCCGATAAATTAGTCTAATAGGTCTTCTCCAGTTAATTAACCTACCTCTCGCTGCCCTTTCCATTTATCCGCGCCCATTGTTTCCCGTAAGAAATTTCATTCGACGTCGACAGACAACGGAGAATAGAATCCGACTGATTTCTTTGACAACAGCCGCTATCCGCGGGAGCATTATTTTGCATCCTTTCATTCCTGCTAACCTTCCATTCAACGAACCCGTCCGTAATCAGTCGAACGAAACGGGGAATTGCTATGGTTCTTTCAGTTCACAGCTGCGCTTTGGAAGACAAACGTTGTCGAGTATCGGAATGTTTCGCCACCTGATCGCTTCGATATTCCGACTGTTAAAGGAAAGATTGATACGAAAATTCGCTTAAAAAATAAGACTCTGTCGAAATATATTATAACGATAAAAGATTCGAAAACAAAATAAAAGAAGAGAAAATATTTGTGATACATCGAGCATTGACTATACACTTGAGAGAGTACTCTAATAAGGATTTTTATTTTCGAATGAGCACAATATGTACTTTCAAATTTATGTTTCAGTTCTCGTGGAAACGATGCTGTGTAAAAGTAGCCACAAAACGCGAACGGTAATATTTGAGAGGGAGTTTAGTGCGGCAAATAGCGTGGAATTTTGTATACGAGAGGAACAACTTTCCCTGCTTGTACCGGTAAAGCACAAACAGGCTTTAAGCTCTGCAGGGATGTCCGTGTAAGCGGCTAACATATGTGAAGCTAACTGTAGGATTACAGTTCACGGCAAAAAGGGTTTTAAGATTTATTGTTTAGAACCGCTTAAAAGCGGTCGTTTCGTGCTGACCGACGCCCTCCGCTTCGGGTTTAGCGTTAAATTTAGTCGCGCGAACGGCGCAACGGTAAATCGGAGCAATAATTATGGTAAATTTCGGGATTAATGCGCGGGGACAAAGAACAAAATAGCAGAGGTAAGTACTGAAATTCGCTGAAAACCAAGCCTCCCGGTTCGAACAACACTGACAAAGATGCACTCTTCGACGCGTCGCGACGAAACGACTTAAACGCTCACTTCGTCCGTCGTTTACGACGCTACAGCGATAAAAGCTTCGGCGCGGTATTTCACGCTGAAAACGTCCCGATTGGTCTGAAAGAAAAATGCGCCAGCATTCTCGCGAATACTTCCAGTGACACTTGCGGCCCGCCGATGTAGTCGACGTGTAACGATCGTAAAGCGTTTAACGCTAACAGCTTCTCCGCCTCTAACGAGGTTCAACGCAATTTCACAACAAAACCTGGTTTAGGATAAACTTATTAAACTAGTAACCGATCAATGAATTTAACAGACCGCCATCCATCAAGACATAAACTTCAAATTCCAATACATGCTAGAGAACCATTAACGGTAAATCACTGGCCAGTTCGATCAATCCACATCAACCATTATCGCTACACGCGTACCAGTAAGTCGTTGCTCCGGATCTCCCCTAAATCCTTCAAATCGCCATCAGACGACCAAGAATCGATTCTATCAGACCGTCAGACCATCGGTTCCAATCTAACTTGATTAGCTATTCGATTTGAGGTTTGATTAAAAACGTCATCCTAATCGAGCGTTGCCTCTTCGTAACGTCGTCTTGATACAATTTAATAGACTAAATCTAATAAGCTACACGCTTGGTAGATATCATTGTGCCCCCATTTCGCAAAACAAAATTAAAACCTTCGAAATAATGAAAACTAATGAAATAATTAAATCAAACTTTGCATCTTTGCACTCTCATCTTAATAAAATTCAATGGGCTAAATCCTATTTTAAATTCAACATGCTGTGTAACTGTTTCTAAGGAAATAAATAAATCTCAACCGTCACTCATATAGGAACTGTCTAATTTTAGTTAATAACACTAAACCCAATGACCCATCAAATATTATTTACACAGGATAAGAGAAACATCAAAGTGCTTTCTATTTGTTGCTTGTGCTAAATGTGCTGAGTGTTACAGTTGTAAGAAATCGAGACGTACGAAAACAAAATACGACTGCAAACACGAGAAATTTCTCCCGTCGTGCCAACGCAGGAAATTCAAGAAATGCGCCGTTTCTCGAAGAAGTAAAATTGAAAGTATTCAGATTCGGGGTCTAACGACGTTAAACACCTTGGAAGGTTGTAAGGGACGGAGAATCAAACAGCACAAGTAACATCAAAGACGTTATACCCTCGATGCCCAATTAACGCGTTTGCCCAGCCCGGGAGAATCTACGAATTCCGAAAGCCTCGTTCGCATCGAGGGGTGGGAGGGAAGGGGGCGTTCGAACGACATGGAAGGACCGGAATCAAAAGGCCGCTTGAACGTTTCTTGACGTTGTCGGGTTTGCTTAAGGTTTCATTAACTAAAATCCCTGTTTCACCTGGAGGCCGCGGCCGGTAATTAAAATGTCGTCGACAGGGACGCAACTTGAGCTTTTAATTCAAAGTACTTCCGGTACGATTCTGTACAAGGCGTTCCACAATACGTGGTATCAACTTCGCGAACTTTAAAAGTTTGCGCAAACGTGTGACCCATTTTACCTTGTAACATTTAGAAATTTTATTTAAGACAATACCATTTATGGGAAATTTTAATTCTCAAAAAACTGCAGAATGCATATTATGCTATATTATATTTAGAGACAACCCTCTACAAAGCCCCTATTTCATTAATTAATAACTCAAAATTAAATTCGGATGATATATACAACTAAATGTTAAAAAGTCCATCTTTTTTCAATATATTATACCGGTTCAGCTGTGTTCGACTTTTTAATTCGTTTAAATTTAAAATGCATTTTGTATACAGTTCCTTCATCTTACGCTTTTCTTGCACCTACAGTGAAAAAAGAAACCCACGGTTTTATTATTTACTTTCACCGGGTATTTTGAGCGAAAAGAAGATAAAGTCTTGGTAACTTTTTCATTATTTTTGTATCCCCTGTAAGCTGTCGCGCGTTATGAAACGCCCTGTACCGGCTCCGCCGCGTTTTAACGCGCAAAACCTGCTCGGTGGGACCTCGTTAAGTAGAATACCTACATAGACTAGTTTGCGCGCAATATCGCGCAACCTTTGAAAGTTTCGCAACACGCGCTCGAACCGTCAGTTCTTATACAATACTTTCGATGAGCCCCGTTCGAGCAAGCGGGGATGCAGCCCTGCCACTGATAATGGAAGACATTACTTACGATAACGGCGCTAACTTCGCCCCGGAATGGGATGGGCGTTTTATGTCGCGAAACTTGCCCGAAACAGAGAAAACAGACGAACTCGTGAACGCTCCACTGGTCTTGCCCGCGCTTGAATAATGCTCGCGCGCAGCTGAACACCTTAACGACTCACTTAAGCAGCGTGCCGGCCTATTTTGTTTATGTTAAGCGCACGATTTACGGCGGGCTAACCGTGGCTTTATTTATTTCTTCCGGTCTAACACAGGAAAGATTTCTCCGGACTCTGCGCGGACTTTTAAATAATTTGCGCGAGAAAAAGAAGAAACCTCCTTCGTTCCCGATGAAGCCTCGAAAATAAACGTTTCAATTTATCTGCAATTTTTCCTCGAAATTGTTCCGAATAAACCAACAGTTGAATTTACAAAGATCGCAGAAAATAATTGAAACATTTCCGAGCGTACAATTTTATTTTATTTTGGCTTTATGATGAAAATCATTGCATTCGAATGTAATGCTTCAGACTGAGATTCGAGTTGCAGTTTGGACAATTTGGAGCACTTTCCTTTGTTATTAGGTGCGAACGAGTTAGTTTAGCGTGCCCCATTAATATACGTGTGATTTCTACTTGGTCGTGTTTCGCCAAGGGATCGCTGAAATCGCAAACTCTCGGTGTATTGCAAAGTGAAATGCAGCACGACGCGAGCGACTTCAGGCAGAAGCCAACTGTTGGAAATAGGAACGGTTCATCAACTAAAAGCAACAGGGCGCCATTCCACTGGCCCACATACGAGACGAACCGAGGAGGCCATCGCCTCCCTGTAATCATTCTCCGGCGCCTTTGCTGGGAAAAAAACTGGAATATTAATGGGAATACGAGAACCGCCGTCGAATTTATACGTTCCCCGTCCCTTTGGCGAGTAACTCGGCAACTGTGCACACAAAGTACCTTCGTTACCATTCATTTGGCCGTGTTACGTTACCAATACCTCGGCAACAAAAGCTGCCAAACGTAATTGAAGCTGCTGGAACGCTGGTAACGGTAATTTACGTTACCAAATAAGGCAGACCTCCGATACTCGTACGTAATGATCAGATCAAGCTTGGTAATTAAATTATCTGCCGAATAATTCAGACGTGTTTAACGACATTAACCTATAATACGAATTTTAACTTTTCGACCCGAATAACTTCCACGCGACTGATTAAAAATATTGCGCCGCGCGGAAACGAACGCGCGAAAGCCCAATTATTTCCAAAGCTATAAACAGCCATGAACTGAAAGAGTAATAAATTAACCCAATTATAAATGTGTATTTGAACGCATTTAATATTGAACTTTGAACCGTACAGTACAGAAAAACCAACAAAACTTTCTGAGAATCCTGATCGATTCTGATATCTTGATTGGACGAAATATATTGATCGATGAAAATTTATTTTACGCGTCAAAAAGTCAATGTGATAAAACTAAACTTTCTTAAGTAGGTTAATAAACTTTCATTTACAGAGCCAAAAAACTAAAACATTTAATAGCTGAAGATAAGAGAAAAGAACCACTACAACGATATCCCCAGTCAGATTTACATCGTCGTAATGTTGTGTTTTGTATTTAAAATTACTTCATTTGGAAATGACTTTCAAAAAGAATAATGTGAATTCTGTCATGCATACTTTATTCTACAAA